AGCTGCTCTTTATGTTTGATGCATGTTTCATGCTGTGTATACAACTATAATCTACTGATATCAACACCTATGATATACATTCTTTTCTTTCACACTTTGCAAATCTGTGAGGTACCGCCTCCTGACCAATAAGTACACACTATAAAATGTAGATATTGTGGATATGAGAAGTTAACTGCAGAATGTATGAATTTAATTCCTTTGATCTTTTTTTAAATAGCAAAAACAACAAAATTGAAGTGATATTTCTTATTATTCATATTACAACTGTCCTGTACCTGTCCATTTAATGGCAATATCAGTGATTTTTGTTTGAAAATGTTTAAACTTCTCTAACACTTGTTGGTCGTATTCCTGTCATGTGTACTGCTCTTTATAAGCTATTGGTAAATTATATTTTTATTGTCAGTTAGATTATCATGTTGACATATACCATATACATTTGGTGGAATGACCATCACTCTCCTGAGGCACCTCAATCTGTATGTTGTTGGATTGTTAAACTACACAACATTGTTAACAGGAAGTAAAGTTAAAAACAACAAATAATATGAATAAATAAATTACAAGAATGCATCTTCTTTATATTTCAATAACATCTGGTTATGCTGCCTACATGTCTAGGTGTTTAACATCATACAGTATTCGTAGCTAAGGCATAAGTCCAGAGACAGATTCAGAGATAGTTAGTAATTTCTTATCCAAAACAATGGTATGGATAATTTATTATTATTATGGTAATGTGAAACTGTTGTCTGGATAGATTCCTACATTTTAGTTGTCAAATTAATTAGTATATTGATATATTGTGTTGTGTGTCACTCCAAGACCGAACCAGTGACTATGGTCAGTCAGGTCACTTGATTGTAAGAGATATAAATTGTGTGATATAACCGGTATATCAAAACCACCTCTGTACTTTATTTTACTTCATCCATATACTATTTAGATTTTCCATTCAACCAATTTAAAAATGGTAGCGATTTTATGTTTTCACTTTTTAATTTCTGATGGAATGTTTGAAAATTTTATACTGAAAAGGTTTCAAAATATTTTTTAACTGACAAGGTAATTTTGTTGTGCTAAATACATTGATTTGGTGAGTGTTCATTTATATCCTAACAGACAGATTTAGATGTTATGGCTGTCAATTCGTTACATTATGTCATAAATCAAATACTACTTTGCTAGATATAATAAATCTATGCAATATTGATATAATAGAAAATAAACGTCAAGAAGTTGACCTTTAAATTTAGGTTTTCTGCAGTATATTTAAATTATTTACAAAATACAGTTTTGTAACACATCTGCAATCAGTTATTAAATTTTAAATTATTTTATATGATTTTCTTTTCAAAGAAAATTCATTTGGTCTAGACTTTGAAGACAAAAATCAATATGAAATTTTATTTATTTGTTTCATGATTCTTTTCTATGAAGAAAATTAAGAGAAAAGATGGAAGAAAAAATTGTAACATAGGTAGTGGGATATGTAATGTAAACACTCTAAATTAAATGAATATTCAATTCATTGAACAGAAAAGTAGTACCGGGCACTATTGCCACAGAAACATACTACGTAATTCCGTGTCAGTTGTCAAGTCAAATAACCTTTCCAAGTAGCTTTCTTAAAATAGACTCACAGGAGTACAGAAAAAAATCTTGCACTATAAATAGCCAAGCGTGTGTTAAAAATAGCACAATTTGGTTTATGGTGTGTGGCAAACAATAAACGTCTTCAGAGGCATGGATTGAATGTGTCAGGGATTAGGGTAATAGTGTCTGCAATGGATTTTATCTACTAAATTTAAGTGTTAGTTCCTTGTGATCGATGAGTTCCAAACTATTGGATAGTGTGCAGATTGTAGATATGTGTCTCCAATTGAACTCTGACCTACTGACCCTGATGGCATGTGATTGTTTAGATAAGTTTCTGAAAGACTGTTATATGGGGTCTTGTATAAAACACAAAGTGTTATTCCTTGTGGAACAGTGCGGTTATATATAAACGGATAATCTTTTCATTCTTTCTAGTCTTTTTCTTTATTGAGAGAAGCTTGATCAACATTAAATAAAAAATTGATTAGTTTAATGGGTGTCTGAGAATTTGTTAGAAAAATCCATTTCTTTAGTCTCTTACTGTTATTTGAATAAGAAAGTATCTTTCTTTTTATGGAGTGCTGTCTTTGTCACGCATCTTGTTAGGGGAGTAGGCGCTGTGGAAATTACTATTGCATTCACACAGTGCAGATCAATGTATGTGTGAAGGTCATTGTAGTAAGCAGCTATGTTTCGGGGAAACCCACTGTTGACCATCCGTGATATTGAAAGTTGATGTTAAATCTGTTAATCAGGGTGGATAGAAACTGGAGTGGCTGCTATCTCAAAGTAAATGTTTTCATAGAGTAATCTTGTAATCTAAGCTACACTGTGAAATTGTGATACATCTATCCCATCAAGTGACCTGTGATAACTAATGCCATCTCCGGACCATCTCCAAGTATCTAATTCTTAATATAATAGGACAGGATATGGAAGATTTGGTGTCTATTAAATAAATAAAGTAGTAAGCACGTTCCTTGGCAATTTTAATTTTCTAGTTGACATATTCTGCAGCACAGAGAAGCTTCTCTATGTCAATTTGTAGTAAGAGAATCATGCTTTCTCCATTAAAGTTTGATTGAAATTTGCAGATAATGTTTCGTTTGCATGTGATGAACGTTAGTACTAATTATTATGTAATTATCAAGACATGATAGTAGTTAGCGATCTGCTGTCTTGAAGTTTTAGGGAAGACATCTGATGTGATGTCAGCATAGAGTAAAGATGAAATTTGCAACTTAAGAAGAGCAGATGCTGATGGAACTGCCATGGTCAATAAACATCCAGGACACGTTTCTAATCACCTGTCTTCTCCAATGTCAAATTGTATTTTATCAGATATTATATGTTATTGTCCTGGTGGCTCTTTTAATTTCCGGATCGCTGAATCCTTTCAATTCCAGTGTTTTTGATAGTTCCATGTAAGGTATGGAATGTTTCTCTACCAACCCCTCAAGAGATGTAAACCTTTATTTTTGAAGTGATGACATGTGTAGTTACTATTATACTGAGAGGTACTGGTCACCATCAGATTAGCTAGGGAGTAAACATCAAGTCTGCCTTTACATTAAGAGAGAATCCTTATTGCTATACTTTGAATTTGTTTTTCAAGCCCAAAAAAAAAATATGCACAAACTTTTTTTTTATAATTTGGTGAATGGTTCAACCCATGTTTTAAATCAACTTGCTCCAGAATAAAAAGGACCAAATCTCACTCTTAAAAAAATCGTCTCACACTTTTAACCAGTTCTTGCATACACTACACACTAATATATGAACACACTGAGTAGTACAGTGATACATTCATGCCATGACAGTATATAGTATATAGTTTACTTGGGATGACACAATGATTTAAAGTGTGAATACTGTAGAACACTTTATTTTCGCTTGGAATTTATTTTTGATATTTTCGCTTAAAGGATGATTCCGTGAAAATAAGATCCAGCAAAAATATTTTTTTCTCTCTACATTTCACATTAAACTCATCAGTGAAAATAAATTCCATACAAAACGCCCAAAAAGCCTTTTCAGCGAAAATTAATTCCAGCGAAAATAAAGTATTCCACAGTAATTCAAACATGTATAATCTATGTCTTGTAGGCTTTGAATAAAAAAGAAAACAAAGGCTGCGAAAGTCCTGAGCCTGGTGATGAACCCTATCAGTTGACCCCTCGTACAGAAGCTAAATACAGTAAAATCAACGAAGAATTTGAGCTTATGATGCACAGTAACACAGTTATGCCAAGGGTAAGTTTAGTTAAAAAAACTAGTTCTACAAGTGACAAAAAAAATTATACAATATTCAAAAATTAAATACTGTATTTGCTCTATTAGAAACAAATGTGCTTACATTAATAAGCGAATATTGGACATTCGCTTCTAAAAGAGCAAATGTATGCCACTTGGTCTTTTAAAGAATTTGACTGTACCAGTTTGTTGCCCTACAAGAATACTAATTTTCTCTGTGCTTTTTCATGACAGGGTTCAATTAGAAACAGTTATCCACAGAATATGCCAGTCAGCATCCCGGTATCTCAGGCTAATAACATGACAGGATATAGTTCCAATGCAAGCAGTAGTATGCTGCAACCACCTCAACACACTCTGGGCAGGAACTCAGTGAGTCCTGTCAGCAATATGACACAACCACAACGGCCCTCAAGCAGTGGACCACCAAGTAAGTATTGTCTACAGCTATAGTTATCTCCTATGCTAGCCACAGAACAATTTACAATGTTTTATAGGATTGAAAACACCTCTCTATAGAAAACTTGTCACCCAAGACAAATCTGCTGGGCTGTGCTATGAATTAAGTCAATTCTTTTTATATTATTTTTTCCTGGGTCATTGTCTTTCTAAGAAGAATTGTTTCTTCTTTATTCTTTATCACATACTATACATGTATATAGTACCCAATCAGTTGTTGAGGCTAGATCAAAGGGTGAACTTTACTAAGTAGAAATAACTAAGAATAAGCCATTTGTTTATGTTATGTTGTCATGACATTATCATTCCTAGCTTTGTAATGCAATATTGTCAGCAGTTCTTGGTGTATGGTTTGTGCATGTAATTGTAATACTTGTCTGTGCATGTGTTATGCATGTAGGTACGGTACTAAGCAACGATTCATCAAGTGCAACAAGTACTAGTACTGGCACTGGTACCACAGGTGAGCATGTCCTTAACATACCTATCAACAACAAAAATCGATCTGTGCTTCTTTTTTTCCTGTCATTTACCTCTGCACCTGGGCAATCATCATTATCACCATCAGCAAGCCAAAACCAATCATCATCAGATACTTTGCGTTCAACTACTATGCATTAATTCTCGATGGCAGCAATCTTGTTGTATACTGACACATTCCATTTTCTCCACGGTATATAGTACCATGTATCACCTGGTTTTCTTACTTCACTGTTCTGTTTTACGTATTTATTCGAGTATCCCTTGGTCATATCCCATTGGCCTGTTTGAGCTCCAGTCTTTGTCCCAATTTAGAATTTTAGCTAGGAATCACATTACCTGCTACATTTTAATTGCGTTTGTGTCTGCTTAAAGAAACTGAATGTTTAATAACCTACTCTTTTATGTATCTTGCAGATCACCACTTAAATTATAGAAAGATTGGTTACTCATCTAACCAAGAATATATTTCTTCATCAGTAGGAAGTAACTATGGCAACCCTTCAAGGACATCACCCGGCGGCACATCGCCTGGGGGACTAGTCACCAAAGCAATGACAAAACAATCTCCGACAGCTACGCGGCCTCAGCTCAGAGTAGTAATTCCAACGAGTCGAGGGCTGGTAAGATTTTTCAGCTTATAATGAAGCTAATTAGATAACTAATATATCATACATGTGGATAAAAATCAGGATATGACGTAAACACATATTTGAACATTTGGAAAAGCTGTATTACTGAAATTTTTAGTGCCGTGTCAGGATCAGTCAGTCGTAATGTTTTCTCACAAAATATCACCGCTGACTGGGTTATCCGTTAGTAATACCTCATTACTTAGGAATTAGGTCATCAATGCCCAGGCAAACAGTACCATTTGCTGTATGCAAATTATTTTTTTAACTTGAATCTGGGTGCTACTGCAAAATACTTTATTTTAGCTGGAATTAATTTTCGCTGAAAAGATCTTTTGGGCGTTTTGTATGGAATTTATTTTGACAGATTTTTGACGAGTTGAATGTAAAATATTTTCACTGAATTATTCCTTCAGTGAAAAAAGCGAAAATTAATTGCAAGTGAAAATAAAGTATTCTACAGTAATTCTATGAACAAATTAGGCCGTTATTTTTACTCCATTATGAAACAGTTGTGTAAACAACTAACTTGCTATAGTTTTAGTATTTTTTGCCACTATTCTCAATACATGTGATTACAATGTTATCAGATTTCAAACACTGATGATGGGTCATTTCGTGTTAGCCTGTTCAGCAAATAAAAAAAAAGTATTCTCAAAATATGTCACAAATGCATCTTTCTGTGATTGTTTGTGTATGGTGGGAGACAGTACACCATACAAGTAAACACAGATTTTCTTATTCTAATATGGCCGACTGGTGACCAAATTTCTCCATCATAGCTGAATCCCAATACTTGAATGTGGCCATATGTTACTTTATACAATAACTAGTAATTGCTATATATCTAAGTTGGAGATGCATTGACTCTTAACTCGTTATTTTTTTCATTTACATCTTTAGCCACAAGGAATAAGTGCTAATCCAAACCAGTCTTTAGCTACTCCAACCGTGTCTTTGGCAACACCTAGCAACCCACCAGGAATACCAAATTATCCGTCCGCAATGCCAACTGCTTTTCAATCAGGTAT